TTGATGTCTTGTAATAATATTAGAGGTAGAAACCATCTTTGATGGTATTTAAAATTTTGCTTTTAAAAAAAGTTATAAAAGCCTCAACAATGATTAAATAACAAGATGGTTTTTTTGTCCTACTGTAAGATACTATTGATAATTAAAATGACCTATCAAAAGTTAAAAAGATTAAAATTTGTAGCAAATATAATTTGTTGCAATATATACTTCCTCAACATATTATCACTGCTCTTTATGAAACTTATCTCTAAAAAAAGAGATAATATCAAAGATATAATAGATATTTATAATAATTTATATAAGATAAATTAAGTAGAAGTAAATAAAAATATTTAAAATTAATAATATCTTAAGAAAAAGCTTTTTAAAAGCTTCATAGATATTGATTTGATTATATAAGTACTTGTAGGTGATTAGTAGATTAAAAAATTAATCAATAAATTAGCCACATAGTATATATATATATATATATATATATATATATATATATCCACATAGTATATATATATATATATATTTCAAGAATATAAATTTTAAAAAACTAAAAGATCAATAAACTCTTTCATTATTCAAAAAGATAAAAAAAATCATTCAAAGATGGTATAATACTAAATTGGAATCGATATTACCAAAGACAAGAAAATTAGAAAGTCTTAAAATAAGACTAAGGACTAAAAAGGCATTGATAAGAGTAAACAAGGTTTCACTCTTATCTAAGTAAGAGCTATGTGGTGATGTTCTAAAAGACCTTCAACACGTGTCCAACTTTCAAGTCATATGCCTTAACTTATAACGCAAGTTTTTTATGTGTGTTTTACAAATTCAACTTGTACCATAAGCTACCAGCACATACAATATGTCACTAACTTATTAGCTAATTTTTTAACCTATCAAAAAATCTAAGTCTTGAAGGTTCTTTATCTCTTTAGCACCACAAATATACAAAAATTACAAATAAGGATAGAAAATAGAATGCAATCTTTTTTAAACCATATTTCTTTTATAGAAAAGATTTGCTATTCTTCATCTTAATTTTGATAGATGTCATTTATAAAAAAAACATCAATTTTTTTTGTTGTATTTCCAAGAATCTTCATTAGCTTCCATATGTGTTTACTAATATCATATCCGTACCAATGAACAAGATGTTTTAAGCTCTTTCAATGCCACATTGATCCTAAGACTTCTTCCATCTCAAATTCATGATTATTATCTACTTCTATAGGAAGAAGTATCATTTGTCTTCTTCTTGAAACATTCACTATCTTATATGGCTCAAAAAGGAATAATTAAAATATAAAATAGATCTTCATAGATTTTTATAAATGTAATTAATAAGGAACTATATTGATTTGTTCACAAATAAAAAATGGAACAAGCCTATAATAATCCAACTAGTCAAAAGAACAATTAGCCTTAATATTGCAACAAAATAATTATAACTTATCACCAACATAGAATTAAGGTTGTTTCTTGCAATAGGCATCTACATTTGTCTTTTTTTATTCTTCAGCTTCTTTTAATTATGTCTTTATTATTATATATAGCTTAGATAAATAATTTCTTAAATCTTTTATCATAAAATTATCAACTTTTAAAAAATCAAAGGCATGAAGTTGTAGATGATATCATATTTGGTAAAGAAAGGCATTTATTGAATAGAAAAATGTATTATATAATTATAAAAAAACTTTGTCAATGAAAAAAAAATAGTCCAATTATCTTGTTGATGGTTGATAATACATCTCAAATACTATTCCAAAACTTAATTTATATACTTCATTTGTCTGTTGCTTTGAGGATGGAAAGCCAAAGATAGTTTCATATCCAACTTTAGAAACTTAAAAAGAATTTTCTAAAATCTTAATACAAATTGAGTTTCTTTATTAAATATAATATCTTTGAATAATCTGTTATAGCAATAGATATTATTAAGAAAAAACTTATTTATTTCTTCACATGTGATAGATTTTGTACAAGATATAAAATATGCCATCTTCATGAAACAATCTGCTATCATGAGTATAGAATCATATCAATTTGAGACTAAAAGATTCATCATAAAATCCATAGAAAAAAAGACTACAATTTTTTTAGAATAGGTAATGGCTGAAGATGTCCATAAGATTGATGATAAGAAAAAATTTATTTTGAACAAAGGTCACATGATTATACAAAGTCTAAGATTGATTTCTACATTTGAAGCCACCAAAAATCTCTAAATACTAGCTCCAAAGTCTTATTGTATTAAAAATATCCTACTACTAAGAAATCTTGATAAGCTTAAAAAACACATAATTATGCTTTGTTTTCTAGAACATATAAATATCTCTCAAAATAGAATAGATTATTCTTTAAATTAAATTTTAAAATATTATAAAACTTAGAAAAAAATATTTTTAGTATCATGAATAAGAGAATCAAAGGACAAACTCAATTGCACTTCTTTAGAAAAAGGTTGAATCAATAGTCAATATTGATTTCATTGCTCAAAAATGAAAATATTTTGATTTAAAATATATATATATATATATATATTGATCAATAGCTAAAACTTTTTTTTTTATTCAAGATAAAAAATATTTAGAAAAAAATCTAAAAAACCTTATTATTTTCTAGATTATTAAATGATTTTGAAAACAAATCTTGATAAAGACTTGCTCGAACAAGCTTGCAATAATTCAAAACATGTATTGCTATGAAATACTTAAATTTCTTGTGATTCTTAAATAAGATGATTGGATTAGAAGTATCTTTTAAGTAATATTATTATTTTTGAAATGAATCCACAATTGCAAAAAGTTCTTTGTTGTAGATCTTATAGTTGATTTTGGTTATTGAAAACTTCTTAGAATATGAAGCTATCAAATAAAGCTTATCACCATCTCCCATTTGTAACAACACCACACTTAAAGCAAAGTTTGATGCATCTTTTTTCATAGAGAATATCTTTAAAAAATTATTGTTATACAAGATTGATATAAAATAAATATTATCTTCAAGACTTCAAAAGATGCTTCAACTTCTTTACTCTATTCAAGTTTTTCTTTACATGTCAAACATTTAAGAAAAGTTGCAATTTAAAAAAAATCCTTCATAAAGATCCAATAATAATTAATAAATTTCAAAAAATATTGCACAACTCTTATTATTTTTGGAACATTCCAATCTATGATAGTTTGGATCTTCTTAGGATTTATCATTTCAAATAATGGCTTTAACCTAAATAATATGAAATACACACTTTTCTATCTTGGCATATAGTTTTACATCTCTAAGTTTTTGTAACACATGATGAATATGAAGTTCATGCTTTTTTGTGTTCTTAGATTAGATTAAGATATCATCTAGGTAGTAAATGACAAAATCATCAAGTAACTCTTGAAAAACATCATTGATTAGATGTTGAAAAGTAGTTGGTGCATTTGTGAGTCTAAAAGACATGACATTATATTCAAAATGACTATACTTGATTTGAAATGTAGTCTTCTATTCATCTCTTTTTTTTATGTATACTATGTTGTATGCTCTCTATAGATCTATTTTTATATAGATCTTTGCTTAATTGAGTTGATCAAGAAGTCTTAAAATAAAAAATAAAAGATATCTATTCTAGATTTTGAACTTGTTGAGCCCTCAATAGTCTACAAATATCTACAATAATCCATCTTTCTTCTTCATAAATAAGATAAAAGCTTGTATTGGAGATTTAAAATAGAATATGAAGTTTTTAGCCAAGTTCTTGTTAATGTGCTCTTTGAGTGCAGCCAACTTGTTTTGTGATAAGTTATAGATTGGTCCAAATGATAATTAAACTCTTTCTTGAAGATCAATTCAACAATTATATAGATGTTGCTTTAAAGGAATATCTACATTCTTTTTCTTAAAAACATCTTGACAATCTTATACTAACTTGGAATGTTGCTTGTATTAAAAATGGATGTGGTATATATGGCAAAAGATGATCCTTCTTGTGTAGCATGCATAAAAGGTCTCGCACCTATCAATAAGTATTTTATTATATTAGACATATGGATTTTTACTTGACTAATAAAATCTTGTCTTAAATATAAACAATATCAAGGTTACCAAAAATCTAATCTATTTGAGACTTATACATCTTCAACCACAATAATCCTAAAATAACTACATTAAAAAGAAATCTAATTACATTAAATATTATTAAGCTATTATAACCACTAATTCCTACATCTAAAGAAATAGTTTTATGAATAAGATCTCCAAAAGACAACAAATAACTATTTATTACTTCTATATTTATAGATTTAATAATAAATGTGATTGGTTTTCATTGATTACAGATCTAGTAGTAGAAAAATGAATTTAAATTACATTTCTTTTTCATGATGGTTAAGATGGATAGATTGATTTAATACAACCTTAGGTCATTTTAATATCTTACTAAATTTAACCAATCAAAAAAAATTAAGTTTTAACCTTTCATCTTCTTTTACAAGCCTAAAGATTTTTTTAAATTAATTAACATAATAATAACAAATAGTTCTTCCTTTCTTAGTATATTACTAAATATATATGTGATGCCAAGTAATTATCTTTCAACAAGGTTCCAATACTAACAATAATATTTTGTCATTGCATGGAATAATTCTATGCAAAGACATAGTTTAATAATTTATATCTTTTATGAAGTATTAGAAAAAAAATGTAAAGTATACAATAAAATCTTTTAAATAATCACAAATAATCATGTGGATTCAAATCACTTAATTACTTTTATTTCTTGTACCTGAACTTTTCCAATCAGATTCTTGGTACAGTTACATATTAGAATCTTCAGAATAATTCTTTAGATAAAGAATTCAATGTGGAAACTAGAGCACATTAGTAAATACTACGTTAGGAACTGCTTGCTATGAGATCAAGCTTTAAAATATTTATGAAATCTCAAAAACTGTGTTTATGAATTCTGGAATGCTACTAACCTTGTTTCAATCACCGAATTTTTAGACTAGATGTAACTTCAGATAGTTTGCAAGTGATCAATCAAAGCTGACAAGGACTTTGCAGTTTCAGGACACTGCCAGTTCACAATTCATGGTGTCGCAAGAATCATGAAAAGTGATTACCAACCTAATATTTTATCCAGATTTCAAAAATGCCCAACATAACCTACTTTTCTACAATAAGAATATTAAATCAATGCTTATCACATTAAGTCAATAAATAAATGGGATGCTCAAAGGCACTACTGTAGGCTGGCTGAGAGGCACGACATTGCCAAGTACAGCCGAACGTACTGCTCTGGGAATTAAAATTGGTCATCGAGTCAGAGGTAAATGTTAAAATGGCCCTTGGGTTCGATATCAGTGAACCGTGTAAAGCACTACCCAACTTGACCTCGTTTTGTATTAACAATCCTTTCATGTCAAACGATATTAGAGGGGTATCGTAAGAAAAGAGCCACTTGAGACTTCGAAACTCGATAGTAAAAATGTTGTCCCCATGCACAGCTCATTACAGCTCCCGCTTACAGCTTTATGGAAACCAGTGATAGGTCAGATTAAGTGCTAGGAACGTGACCGCTGCGTGCGGTGGTAGAGTAAGTAACCTGCGAAAGCTGACATGAGGAACGTCCATAATACCTAACAAGGCAACCAGAAGGGGAATGGTGAGCCGGAATCACCTAGTAAACTTTCTAAATATAGAGGATGAATCAGATATACAACCTCCTCATCTCATATGGCAAATCAACACAATCAGATTGATAGCATCAGAAACTCTTCATTCGTATCAGGTCATTAGTGCTTCTTTTTCGCACTTGTCATGCACTTGTAAGCAGAATCAACAACCTACCAGGAATTCCTTTGGACTGTTTGGTGTTACCGAAGCAACCTACTTTCCCACAGAACTTACCACTAGAAATAGGAAAACAATGATTCGAAAGACGAGTCGCACATGGAATAAGCTACTCATTAAGGAAAATATAGACAAAACGCTAGTTACAATTTCGCAAACAGTCTCGATTTAACATTTCACTGACCTTGTTGACCATGTTCCATTTTTCAAGATTCCGGACCCGCATGTTTATGTCTTCCCAGACGCACTCCGCTAAAACTGAAGGTTCCTCAAGAATCTCAGAGCCAGCACTGGCTCCCTGCAACAAAATTACGGCGTTGACATGCAGAAATAAACCTGGCGAACTGAAACATCTTAGTAGCCAGAGGAAAAGAAGGAAAAATGAGAAGGAAAACAGATAAATCCCGAGCTACCTAAAAAGCCCTAAACCTGATGAACTAATGCACTGTGAGAATCGTCGCAAGCCACCACGAAACACCCTGCCCCACATAATAACATCAGAAAACTAAGAATCACGCGCATCCCATGCTTATTCAAAACAAACCTGGGCTTGAACGTAATCCACAAGTTCCTGCAGGCGTGCTGCCTGTGGATCCTCCACACCCTTCTTATGTCGGCCCGTTCCAAGTATAATTTCTATGTATGGCTGATTAAAAAAAAATGCGTTGAAATTCCAACTTAGTGTCTGATCGGCATCCAGCATACTCAATTCAAGTTACAGATGCAAATTTCAGCTCGGTCATCAGAAGTGCAATAGGAGGCTCGTACCATAGTGGTATAACTGCCCTCCAAATTGAGGACTAGTCCTGCGGTTGCAACCGTCTCTTTGTTGGAGCCTTTAATTTGAATATATGGAGTCGGAATGTTATGTAACTGGTCAACTTCAATTAGAAGCTGCCATATATCAACATGCACCAAGTGCCATATCATCAGATAGCAAGACACAAAGCACTGTATTAACTGTTCACAATCCATGTAACCCAATTGGATACCTATTCCGCCTATAGGTAAGCAGAAATTACAAAACTTAAGTTACTTGAGTATATACATAAAATAAGTGACTTGGCGATAAATTTCGGCGTTAGCATACAAAAGAAAGACTTTACATCAGTTAAATGAGGTAATTTAAAAGTCCCACTAATAACCATCATTAATTGCAATGGTTACAGGGAGGGCAATAATTGAAATATTTGGAATTAATTATACATCTGTTTCAGATAATAAACAGATTCGCGAAAATATCAACCAAAATCACAGGAGTTCGTACACAAGTTCGATAAATAAAAATCGAAAGCGCATAACAATTACAGGCTAGAAGTAGCATAAGGAAAACCTTATCGTCTTGGTATATAGTTGCTGTAGCCTCGATGTAAGCTACTGCTTGATACCTGTGATTCAAACATATTGAGTGAAATTGCCAATCGTTGTCAATGTCTACGAACTTAAAAACTGCACTGCCTTGTTGTAGGCAATTCTGAAAGTGACAAGTTCAACAACAAACCGAACTTATGCAGCCGGCGAAGGACGACATAGAGTGCATAGATTATACAATGCGAAGAAAATCCAACAGTAAAGGATCGAATCACCGATTTAATCACTCCTGACTACATTGGCTTTGAATAGGACTACAGCATACCCATCGAATACCAGCAATATTCATTCAGTCACAAAAAAGGGATCTACTGCAAATACTTATATTTGAATGGAACAGTAAGCATTAGTAACCCATTCAATCAAAGAGTTAAATCAAATGATAAATGTAAGTATAAGCACTATTCTCACCCGAGTGTCAAAAGCCCCGCCACAGTTCGGACACTAATATCAAAGTCCACCCTGGGCTGGATTATGAAATCTCCTTCTCTTATAGGCTGCGAAATGCCAAAACCAAGCAGAGACAATAAAATTATACAAAACCAGAAGCAGCTCATAACGAAGATTGAAAAGAGAAAACGCAGTCAAGCTCTCAAGTCTGCAATATAATCATTGAAGATGCACATGCTGGAACTGTACCTCACGGATCAGAAGTGCGAACCTTCCTTCACAGTTTCTCACTCGAATCCAATTGCTTTCTGTACCATTGCCGTTTTTGGGAAGACCCGGTAGGTGAAAATATATGTCAGTGAATTTTTGCACCGTTTTCACTATCTTTTCTGGGTCCAATATTTTTGCTATCTCCTCAAATGAAACCTACACAAACGACATTTTCCACAAAATGAAGTACTTCAGTGATGACATGAAAACTAAGTAAAAATCTGAACATCAAATTAGTGGATTTCTGAAACGATTAGAAAATAGCATTCTACTATGTTACGTGTTTCATTATACCCAAACAATAGTTCATCCAAACTGAACCATAACTGTCGGCATGCTGCAATTGCTCGAAATCCAACAAGTTGTATATTGGAGACACACTACAATAAGAGTTTGGGGGGAAAACTTGACAGTACCTGCTTACTGCTTTTGAGAACGAACATTGAGCTTTCAGGGGAATGAACAGGATCAAAGTCATTGGAAATTTTCAACTGCACACATTCATATAAACTAGTATGACACAATCCACTACACAACAATCAATCTCAAGTTCGGTGTAAGAAGCGTAACAAGGAACTGGATAGCATCCTCTATGAATGGTGAAACTAAGCTTGTACAGCTTTGAATTGCCTAGATTCGTGAAATTAAACAACATTCTTGACTTGATTCAGGGGTAAGAGAAACCGACATGAGCATGAACAAGATGAGGTTCAATATCTTGTTGGAACATGGGAAAGACTGTGGTCATCACTTCTTGCTGTGAGATGGGCCGTCCGCTCTGTTCCAACTCCCTTTGAACTCTAGCAACCAGATGAGAATGCACACCTCCAACCTGGGCATATGACTCAGTTCGTAAAGACTATCCAAGACACTTGGGAAAGAGATTGCAAGATATTGATAACAATCTGGCGTATCCTGTCTATTCCAAGTATGAGCCTATTTGAAAATTTTATTCCGCTCTCGGGCCTCTGAGGCACAGCCCTTGAAAAGTATGTTATGTACAGGATACATAAAAAACCTCAAGCATACTATGTTGGCAAGCACATATAACCTGATTCCCTCAGCAAAAGAACTCGTCATTACCACAGCCACCCAAAGATTCAGGAATGGTCGAATGTTGGGATGCAACGCGTACACCCCTTCCAAAATGACCTGATGCATCCACGCCATCAGTCACGCCGTCCAGGTTTGAAAACAAGTCGCAAGACTTTGGAGACAAAATGCTACTAGGATTTCCTCCATCAGAAACAAATTGAAGCACACAATCAAATACCAAAGTGCAACAAGGCTTCAGACTGACCACACCGCAGTCTTCAGTAACTGTGAGCTCCTTTGAGCCACTTCGCACATTTTTCTCAAAATCGAATACAGGAATCCTGGTTGAAGGTAAAGTTTTCAAATCCTCAATGTTCTGCAAAAGCACACACGTGTTTCGAGACCCTTTTTTTCTCTTGTCCAGACAGCACGAAGCAGCTATTCAAATACAAGCGAAGTTCAGGGACAGAACTTGAATTCAGTGGTGCACTTTCAGGTGATTAGCACATATCAGAACTCAACACACAATAGTTACAAACCAAGTCTAGAACCCTAGTATTCAATAACTAAAATCTTCACCAAGCCTTTATAGTTCTACTGACATGTATGATGTAGTGGTGGCATCGATCTTTATAAAATGAAAAACTATCAGAAATTTGGAACTATTCACCAAGAAAGACACAATCCACAATCCATCAATATTCACTCGATATTTCGGGGTAACCTTAAGCAATAGAGGCAAGTCCAACGTGCTGAATTCATCATAATTAGAATCCTTCACTTCTTCGGCATTAATATAGCTCTCCATAGAGATAACTTCACAACCCACTATGTTTGCCATCTTGTGGGCAAAACTAGTCTTGCCAGATCCACTCGGTCCACCTGTCCATGAAGAGGGGAATGTCATAAACAGCGTAACAGAATGATGTCACTACATTTAAAACTTTGCACAACATAAGGTGAGAATGATGAGAACCAACTTGCAGAAAGTTTCAAGTGACAGACACGAAAATCTAGACAGATGCACCAGTGTACAAACACGGCAACTTTAGAACACCATGGTGATAGACATATGAGAGAAAATGCGCATTGCTGATATCAAAGACGAGGATGCATTAAGCCAATTATTCTTCTTCTATAATGCATCCTACGTACACAATCTCACTACTTAAATTGAGCGTCGACAAGCAACAAAGTACAGCGTAGAATTGATTCAGTACCAATGCCGACAATCACAGGGGGACCTCGTGCGTTAAGGAGTGTCTGCAAAACAAGGCAACGTTAGAAAAGCCATGATAATAAATAAGATGTCATCTAAACTCCTAAACATAATCTCACGCCAGCATAATCTGCAAACAGAAATATAAACAGAGCACAAAGACTACCTGAACTGCTTGTACAGCCAAAAGAAGACCTCTATCAAAGTCAAATGTCTCCGACATTGGAAGAAGCTTGATTGCATCTTTTGGAGACATCACAGAATGATTTAAACCCGGAACTGCTGAAATTAAGGAACCAGTCTCAGGTACTATATCATCCTCTGCAGGGTGTAAACTCCCCATGTAAGCCAGTTTAGAGAGTTAAATCGAATTTCATTATGGTGCCACACTACAAAAAATTATTAAAAGCCTCAAGGCACAGAAACATATGAATCTCTTGATGCTAGAAAGCGCCTTAACCAAGAGGTCTGAAAGAATGTTATCATAGAAACTCAAAAAAGGCATATGCAAGACTCATTCAATGAAGACAATTACGGAACAAGAGAATCAAAACAATAGTTAGAAGGGGGAACCACAAGGGCAATGTGATCTAAACCTCTGACAGAAGTTGTAAGGTGCCAGGACCCGATCACTGGGTCTATATCTGACTTAGTTGGCGACCTCGTCCAGGTCTCCAAGGTGTCCGAAGGCTTCAGAGGAGACAACTGTTTCAGCCGGATTGGAACTGGTGACAACACACTCGGCTCTCCTCTATTCAGAGGTGCTGGAGGTGTAGGTGTTCGTGAACCAGAAAATGCTGAAGTTGGCAGTGGCGGTGAATCCAATCGTGGAAGCCCTATATACAATCATGACAGCAATGAGTATGGACTACAATTTCAAATGAGGAAAACAAGCTTGAACCTAGAAAGCCCGGTAACCATGAACATGGTCTTCAAAAAAGAACTGCTGCACTTATAAAGGATAAATGTTGCAGGGAAAATATGAACCTGAGTCCATAGTAACGAACGTTATTATGAATACAGGTTCATAATTGTATCAGAAACGCAACTTGGATTTAGTTTGGTCTAAACCTCAATTTACACCAAGCTAAAATTCAAATCACCTCACTTTTGAACAGATATGTTCCACCGAGAATCTTCAAACTATAGTTGATAAAGAAGAACCAACCTTTGATATCTAGTACCATTTCCATGTACGATTTTGTGATCCATGGCCCATCAAGACCAATTGCAGCTGCTTCAGCTGCCACAACCTGCTTCAAGTTTCATCCTTTCAGTTCAGATACTTGTTTTTTGAACCAATAGCTCGAAATATTCTCCAAGCATACAAACTGAAAGATATCAAAACCACTCAATGAAATTCGATACGACCCCAACTAAGGAATCCACCTATGAGAAGACGCTTACCTTGCGATCAGTCCCTTTAACTTGAATGAAAAATTTATTCACATCATCAATTGTCTCAATAGATATAGATACTTTGCCATTATCGATAATGGCTGACTCTCGCTTAAAGCTCACGGCAACCTGATATCCTAACGCTAGTAAACCGCCTAACGTGGTCTTCCCCACCTATCGAAACAGAACACAGAACACAACTTCCAGTCAATTGTTGTACGAAAAGTAATTGTTTGTGACGCCACAAGGAATAATTAAGTGTATAGGAACAAGCTAGCTCCAACTTATTCATCACATACCTCAAATTCAGCTTTGGGTTTAATAATAAAAAATTTGTCAACAATTCTCTGATATCCCTCCGCAAGTTCATATCTGATGCCACACTGCCTCATCCTGATCCAGTCACTCGTTTTTGAACTGTCCTGTTGGGCTGGAGGTCTCAAGTACATCTCAATATATCTGGAGATAAACATTCAATCCGTATCATTTCGGTATCTATCCAGAATTTTAGTGATTTAAGACCACCAAGTTTATAAAAAGCCAACATTTACAAGGATTGAAATGACTTTATTTGTGAACTACATTCCAATTTGTCCAAATCATTCAACGACTTTGCCAGTGAGCCACAGCCTCAAGTGTGACTGAAGAAGGTAAAAGATGATACTTACTGCTCATGGCGCACATCTTCTGAATTGAACAGCATCTCAATGGAAGTCTTCAACAACTGAAGAGAGGTTCATGGTTGAGTGAAGATCTTCACGTTAAAATGTTCAAGCAATCCAAGAACAATGGTAGATTAAGCACTACGCAAATATCAATATGTGTGTGTGAGTGTGTGTGTGTACACACACACACACACACACTTATACAGATTCTTGGTTCTTGGTTCTTGGTTCTTGGTTCTTGGTTCTATCAAAGAACCATCTGGAAGACCTTCTCCTACAACGACACTAAATCCTAACTTTTGTACACCACACCTGTTCAATGCATAGCGTCCATTAAGGATTCATCACATAGTTCAGTAACACAGATGCATGAATACAAGCTTGTATACCTGCTTCTCTGACTTCAAAATGTAATATGGTTCGCGGAGACTTGCAGAAACAAAACTGTTGCTAATCCTGATCTGTTTATGAACACAAAAATGTCAGTGCTTGCAATCAAATATGCAGTAAACAGCTCAGCATTACGATTCCTAGGATCGAAATATCATACCTGAGCATGATGGAGATCCGGTTCAATATTTGTTCGAAAATTAGGAAAAATACTGTCTATCAGTCGATCCAATGACAAGGTCTCGCCAATGTCCCGACGAACTTTTGAAAGCAAATTAAAATGAACGCCTCCAACCTGCAAACCTAGTTCTTACGTAAGTCCAAATGTTGCTGGAAAACCCCACATGCACATTACTGGTTGATTACATTGCAAAAACGACCTGCAACAACTTGTTACACGGGGAAAACGATTCCTAATTGCAAAAATCCTTTCACAAATTCGAGGTATATTAATTTTAAATAAATTGTTTTCAAAACACCTTGTAAAATTATATAATGTACACTCACCACAGCCACACTGATGTCCAGCAGAGGACGCAATCTGGAATGAAGTGCGTAAGTACCTTCAACGAGAACCTGGCAGAAGATCCATCCATAAACGACGACAATGAGAAAGTTCAGAAGAGAGGTGTAAGGTAATAAGCAGAAGCGCACAAAATATAATTTCAATCCAAATGTAAGGGCAAGTGCGAGCTTAAGGTGAAGAGCCTTACCACACCGGACTTCGGAGCCTTCATCAAAAGAAAACCTGAGCGCTTTTTCTCTTGGAAATCAAATTCCGGCATCATAATATCCTTTCCCTTCAACAGGTCCTGTCCCACTTGAACTGAGGTATAAGTAACCAAATCAACTTTGACCAAAATACCATGAAAGTTCGCAAAATTGAGCTCACCTAATGTCTATGGAATCACGAGTTTAACTTAAGCAATCTAAGTAATCGTACAAGTTATCACGGGCGGCCAAAAAGCACATATGGTATGACATAATAAAATCTCAAAAAAACAAAACAAAACAAAACAAAAAATCTATTGATTTTGGCAACATACTTGATCATACGAAGTAATTCAAAATATTTTGTATGTCTTCAGATGGACTGCATTACAAGCATCAGAAATGCGAAAGTACCTCCAAATTTCGAATTAATAGCATAAAGTCGAGGGTATCAAAGTCGTTGCTATCATCAACAGACAGTGACGGATCGTGGTAGTTCTCCATTGACACAACCGCACCCCCAAGGACAGAAGCGATCTTGGTGGCGAGGCTACAGATTCCGATAATGCCTCCAGTTAGAGAACCGACTTGATATGCTTCATTCTTAGACACAAGCACTTGACGATATAACGTTTCTTGAGACAGCACCAAAGATTGTCAACGGAGTATCAGTGGGTTCAAGATCAATGAATTCAAGAAATCCTTGATAATTCACGAGCATAAGATTGACTCCACGATTGGCCAATACAATCTCCGGGAAGTTTCAACGAGTTAAACCATAATAAAGATTCTAAAAGTATTCTTGCTTAATGCAACGAAGCTTTCATTCCCACCCTGATCGAAGCGTTTCTTACCTTCTCACAACATAACTACTGCTCATTCCTACTTCACAATAAGTGCAAGAATTACTTTCTCCTACAAAATCAATAACAGTGTTCAAGATTAACTTGGTTGTGTAAGCATTATGAATTTGAGCTGATGTTCCAATTCTTCGGTGGAGATGTCAAACCTAGACTTTCCCGAGCCACTCGGTCCACCTATGCCAACTGAAACCGAGCCTCGCTTCTTATCCCGAAGCTCTTGAATGGCACGCACCGTCAAAAAGTAGCCATGGTCAAAAGACTGTCAAGAAATTACTAGATAGGTCAGTTAACTTTAAGACAAGAGTACTATATCGTTCTTGATGCCTGATATAAACGAGCTTTCCATGGAGCATTAAGAAATTTATGCATAGGTCATTTTAAACAAACAATATCAATATACAAAGCACAGCATGCACTGAAATATACGTGAGCAGGTTAATATGGATCTAATGGACAAAAACGATTAGGTAATACTCATAATAGGGCACCCGCAAAGAGAGAGTTCAAAGAAAATCTTCGCAGTGCTTGAACGGAGATTAAAGCAATCTATAAAAACCAGGAAAAACAACTTTGAAAACAACGATCTATAAATTGATTGTTCTCTCGGCAAGTGTGCTCGAAGAGCATAATCATGAAGATGCGGCATTGGCTAACAATTTTCAGAGCGTGCATACCAAGGGTTCTGAAGATTGCAGCCAGACTAAACGCTTGCGATAATGAGAGTTAGGGGAAAGTTGAGCTTACTAAGCTCAATTTGAACTTGACGTGACCCAGTCAATAAAATACTTTCCATACAGATTCCACTTTCCACAATAACTGTGAGTGTGATGAAAGTTCAAATCGACCTAGATGAGCAATTCAAGCCCAAAAGCAGAAAATTCCAATTACGATTAAGCAGAAATCACGGTTCCCTAAAATTGAAGATGTGGAAAATAGTGAAGGCCTCAGCATCAACTGCGGCTCTGCAATTCTATTTCTATACAGCTCATGACGGACTTCTATACCTGTGTTCCTCCTGCAGCAAACAGATCCAATCATTTCTTACAAAGAGCAATCCCTGCGGTTGCCTGTATCCAACCTTAATATTTCCGGCGCCAAGACTGCAATCGTACCTTTCCTGCATACTTCGGGTAGATACAAGCAGAGATGCCGATGACTACATATATTTTAACACAGGTATGCGATTATTCACCTCATCCCTTCTGCGTCCTAACACGGGCGCTGGCAATCAGCGGTCATGCTAACAGTAGACTTTTAGAAGAAAGAGATTCCGAAGTAATAAAGAGCGAAAATGACAAACCAATTTCGACACAAAAGACTGGATTCTTGTTCAGCACCAAAAGAGCGTCATGATACGCAGTCTAGAGGCAATCCAATGACAAAATTGTATTTTAAAGTAAAATTCAAGAAGGCCAGGTTGGTGCTTTTCTTGCAAGTGAAGCAATGAAAATGCAAGTGAAACAGAGGAAGTCGATACAAGGAGATCGCAGAGCAAAAAAAAAAAAGAAAAGAAAAAAAAAAAAGAGGGGTATCTTTACGATTTCCTTCAAAGCAACAATGGTCACAATACGAATGTAAAGAATGCCAAGAAGGAAAAAAAGAGGAGAAAAGAAGGGTGAGAGGGGCGTACGACTTGGAGAGGAAAGGAGAGGAGCTGGTGATGAGAGGCATCGTCGTCCATAGCTGCATCCGGAGGGGGAGTGGGATCCGGCGATGGTGCGGATGGCTCAAGACGTGAGAGGAGAAA